CCAACCCACCTAGCTTCAAACGTGTGATGCTGCTGCTGTTTCTTCATCCACGTCTATTTTTTCTTGTCCTGTGTCTTGATTTTTAAAAAAGTTCACAGGTGAGACACAGGCGAAAAACAAAACGAAACAAAATAACACAGAACAACAACAACAAAAAAACAAACAAACCCAACAACAACCAAACAACAAAACCAAAAACCCAACAAAAACAAAACTAGAACACAACAAAGACATATTAAGAAGTACAAGAAGTATACTCACAGCTCCATGACCAAGTACACGTGGGTTTTATCTTCAAACACATCTACAAGTCGCACTATGTTCGGATGACTGAGTCTGGAACAAGAAGTAAAAAGAAAGGGTGGGGGGTGGGGGTAAAGTAAGTGACGGTACGAAGCAAAAACAACACACACAAAATATTTACAATACAGAATTTCAAATTATGAAAATTATCGACGTTTTCAGTTTCATGACAGAGGAAGTACCTCCTTCTCCTATAGTAGACACAGCGTCAGTTCTCTATAGCATGAGTGTTTAAGGTATGATGGTCAGGTCCTTTTCCATACACAAAAACAACGTGATTAAATAGAATATCCCAGTCTATACACGGGGACGTATCTCACAGATCATTGTCAGACAATTTCAATTGTTTGTTTGTTTTAGTAAAGAAAAGCACATTGACACAATAATGGACATTTAGTGCTGGGAAAATAGTAGACAGACAAACAGAATCAACAGAAGGAAAGTGAAGAATTAGGACCAACCACGGGCGCCCTCAAACCACCTAAAATAACTTTAAAAAGCCCGAATTTAAGTGAATTAAATTAATAGTGTCAACGCGATGCACGATAAAAGCTTACAAGAATCTTTGACATTTACGTCTTTTTGAGTTGAACTTAAGACTTGGCAACGACAAGAAACAATGCTTGACATTTATGTCTTCTGGAACAAACTATAAGGACGTGACGTGACAACGACAAGCCTCGCCCTTAGACTTTTTGGAATCAAGTAAAGCCGATAAGAATGTGGCTTCTCAGTAACAGTACAGTTCACAACGGCAGCTCACGCACAGTTTCTATTGAGAACTGAAATTTTATAAAAACGTATCTTTTTAGTCAACCACTACCCTACCTTAGAAATACAAAGTGCTCGGTTTCAGTTACTTAGACCATGACGTTAGAAACCAAATTTTAATATCTGCACTATCTAAGGTAGCGACTAGTCAGGCCAACGACTTTCAAATTTCACCAGCAATAGAAAGAATTAAATGACTGACAAGTTGAACTAAATTAAACAGTCATCTAAACAATAGGCACAGCACGGCTTTGCTGGTCGGTAGACATAGAGCAAGTACGAGTACACTGCCCGAAAACTACTCCCCTCAATTCAGATCTTGACGTCCTTGATGCTCCAAAGGAGAAACATGGCCAGTACGTTTCAACTCAAGGAAGATATAAAGTTGTCTCTTTCTTTTTTATAAGAGTGATAGATAGCGATGTATCTTTTAAATTGGGGGAATCTTTAAAGTTGAAAACACACCCATAGGCAAATTAATCAACAGGTGTCTCTTACTTTTAACAGATGGATCTAGGGATACCTCTTACTCGTAAATCAGGGAAATTTTTAAATTTAAAAACACACTAAAAGGCAGACGAATCAATAGCAACATTGGCCCGCGTTGTGAAGAGTTCTCGTTCTCAAACGTCCTCTTTTGTTTTGTTTTTGTAAGAGTTTTACGGCGCTCGCAACTGCATAAGGTCATATGAGCGCCAGAAGATTAGAAGTGTTACAAGAGAGTAACAAACATATAAAAGAAGAAGGGGAGATAAGGACGATAGACGTCTCATAGGAAAAAAGAAGCAAACCACACCAGAGCACCCGCCAACCACCCACAAACGTTCTCTAACGATCTCTGGCACTCCTTTATTTCAAGCACAATACGGGATTAGACGGACAGTCACACATACAGACGGACAGTTACACATACAGAAGGAACGAGTGACAGGGAGACGGGCAAACCTGTGAAGAAAAGAGATCTCACTCTCAAATGCTTTCTTGTACCTTCGGTGACTCGAGGACAGATCTGGAAGGCAGCAGCGTTCACATACATAAGACGCGCACATACTCTCTCTCTCTCTCTCTCTTTCTCTCTGTCTGTGCGTCTCTCTGACACACACACAAACGCATACACACACGCACACACACACACACGCACACACACACACACACACACAAACGGATACACGCACACAAAGGCATACACGTACGCAC